TGTTAGCTGGGTTAGATCTGGGTTAGATCTGGGCTGAGTGTCCATGACTCACCTGGGCTCTTATTAAAATGGAGGTGCAGGTTCCATGGGGCTGGGGTGGGGGTGGGAGTCTGCATTTCTCTTCTCTTCACTTCTCTTTTTCTTTTTTTTGTTGCTTTTGTTTTTGTTTTGAGACAGGATCTCTCTCTGTTGCCCACTCTAGAGTGCAGTGGTGTCGTCATAGCTCACTGCAACCACAAACTCCAGGGTTTAAGTGATCTTCCTGCCTCAGCCTCCTGAGTGGCTGGGACCACAGGCACATGCTACTGCACCTGGCTAATTTTTCTATTTTTGTAGAGATGGGGTCTTGCTCTTGCTCAGGCTGATCATGACTTCTGGCCTCAGGTAATCTTCCCGCCTCGGCCTCCCAGCCGAGAATCTGCATTTCTAACAGGCTCCCACTCAACCAGTGATGGGCCCAGGGCCGTGCTTTGAGTGGCAGTGAGGGGGCAGAAAACCCTCAGAGGCCCTGTGCAAGAGGACAGCCACTATGGTGTCCTGCTTGCGTGAGAGATGTACCAGAGGATTCATGTTCACTATGCCGTTTCAGCTCTGAAGGCTATAGCTTGTTAGTCACTTTTTCCTCCCTAAGTGGTCTGAGGTTCAGAGAGGGTAAGCTGCCCAAGACTGCAGAACCAGAGATTGGGGCACCAGGCTGGTCTGACCACACCCACCTCCCTGTGCAGGGAGCTAGGACAGGAGTGGAAGATCCCAGCAGGACAGCACTGAAATGAAGGGGCCACTAGAAGTCCTTGCTGAGAGCCTCCCTAAGAGGGCACAAAATACGTGGCCAGGCCCAGGGCACCCAGGACCCCAGCCCCAGCCTGGCCCCAGGGCAGTGAGGCCTGGAGAGTGGCTGGAGGGGCCCAGGGTAGGCAGGCTGCTGAGCCTCCTGCCAGCGCCACGCCGGGGCTTGCCCCCTCTGTACAGCAGGTGGCGCTGTTCCGCCAGCCAGGCCCGCCTTGGCCGCTGAGTCTGGCCCTGGCACTGACCCGGTCAAACTTTGGCCAACCTTCCTCTTCCCCACCCTGCCTGCCCCCCCCCCACGTCTAGAGTGGCCCTACTTGGTGAGAGGTTGGGAAAGGTGATAGAACAGTGCTCTCGGCCTCAGAGCCTGTCTTCACCCATGACCTCTGAACAGAAGAGGAAACTGAGGCCGGGTAAGGATGAAGACCTGCTCAAGGTCACTTAGACCAGGCACCTGAATCTGGGCCTCTGGCCTCCAGCCTCTCCTAGTGGTTTTCAGAGTTTCTTCTCACCCCATGGTCTCGGTCTGCAAATTATCCTGTCCACGGAGCACAGCAGAAGCAGAAGGAACCAAGGGTGAGAGAGGTTCTGTGGCTTACCAGGGTCCCACAGCTGAGTATAGGATCTGGAGGGGCTCTCGTGAGGTGCTGGGCAGGGCTGGAGCAGCACTCTGCCTCCCAGTCCCCACTCAGGACCTGGGTTGGGCCCTCCCGTCTCTGCGCTCCTGTAGTCTGGGAGGGAGGTCTACGCCACAGGTGCCCAACTCCCAAGTGTGCCCAGTCTGAGGAAGCTGCACCCCACCTTACTGGATCACTGGGTTCATACTCACCCCCTTTTGGGCTGATGCCAGGGCTGTCTGGGCCCACACGAGGCCAGGAGTCCTGTGGGGAGGCCCAGTGGGGAGGCCAGGGCTCTACCTCCTCCTGGCCTGGTCACCACACCTCCCCTCAAAGGTCCCTGAGCCTCTCTCCCCAGTGCTACCCTCTGTCCCCTACCTCCTCCTGGCCCTGCTGCCACTCCAGGGATAGTGAGGGGTACTGGGAACTGACCGGAGCTGGAGAGAGCACCATTCACTTGTCACCTCCCCGTTACTTCACCTGCACTGTGAGGTGGGAATGATGAGCCACGCTTCACAGGTGCGGCCTCCAACGACAGAGGACAGATCAGAGAATGGGCTGCGCTGGCCACAGGGGACAGCCATGTCTGCTGGGGTAGGGCTGAAGTCTCGGCCCCTCACTCATTGTGGCTTGGTGGGGAAACTGGGGTGCAGTGGGGGGACTCCTCTACACAGATGGGACCCCTCAAGTCCCCTCTATGTGCCTCTCTGGGGCTCCCTCACCAGCCCAGCCTCTGCCCCAGCCGTGCTTGGGCCCCAACTTCATTATGGAGCTGGCAGGCAGCCTCAACTCCTGGCTGAACCCTTGAGTCTGGGAAGTTTCAGCCACTTCGTCCCCCAGTCCAGAGATGAGCACCCATGTAGGTAGTTGCTCCTTTGCTCAGTGACCTAGTGCCGGAATCAGGGGAGGTGGCGGGGCCTGAGCACCCCCAGCCAGGTCAGCTTCTATAGGATGAACAGGAGGCTCCTCCACCCCACCCTGTCCAACTTCAAGGTTGCTGCAGAGGCTGACTAGTCTGTCCTCATAATAGATGATAATATAATGGAGTCGGGGTGCTAGGGACAAAATGCATGTCTTCCCTTCTACCCTAGCCCTTGATGAGCAGGACAAGGGCAAGGTCAGCCCCTCGGATGGCCCTCAGAGGGTGGGCGTGTAGGCACCACGTGGGTTATGGAGGAAGGACCTGTGGGTGCGTGGAGGCCCGTAAAAAGCTGGTTTTCCGGCTGGTCCGAGGCAACCCATAAAATAAATTCACTTCAAAAAAATCGCATGGTGTGGGCGGGTGTCTACTTTGTCTGCAGGCAGGCCTGACCCGGGGGGAGGAGAGGGCAGCGTGGAGAATAACAATTGTCTTAAGGGAGTCTGCAGAGGGAGAAAAACCTCTGGGTGTATCAGTAGGGAAAGAATAGGCGTCTCAGTGTAGCCCCTCTCCCCCCTCTCCGCCCAGCCCTGCGGGGTGGGGGGGGCATGGTCAGCACACACAGCTGGGGCCGCCAGCAAAACCCCATCCTATATATCTAAGAGCAACAGCTCCGAGAGCAGCCCCCGGAGGACAAAACCTCATTGTGAGGCGCCCGCCGGCCTGAGCACCCCCTCCCCCAGCCCCAGAACTGTGTGGCATTGACCCTCCTTCGAGGGCCACTGCTGACTGGGCCACATCTGGGGCTCGGGCACTGGCTGCCCCTCCCCCACGGCTGGCCATGGAGGCCGAAAGGGAGGCAGCTTTGAGGGCAGCCTGGCTTGTGCCCCGCCCTGCTCCAGGAGGCTGCTTTGGGCAGAGTTGAGAGTTCCAGGATACTCGCTCTGTTGCCATCTTGATCTGCCAGCAAGTGTCCCCAGCCCTCTGGGCCTCGGTTTTGTCACTTGCCGAACAGTGGTGGGATAGACTTTTGCAGATCTGACTTGCTGTGCTGAACGGTCCTAAGAGGCTTCAAGTTGAGCTGCTCCATCGTTGGATGATTCTCTGGGTCTAAGAGTCCAGAATTCTCTGCTTCCAAGCTATTAGGGGCCAGGGTTCTGTAGTTTGAGGATGCCATGGTCTATTCACTCAACACACACGTACTGTGTGCCAGGTAATGTTCTTGATGTTGAAGCTACAGCAGTGACCAAGACAGAAAAAGCCTTTTGCCCTCATAGGCCTTCCATTCTAGAGCAAGAAGGCTGGTAACTGAAACTAAATAAATATCTGTTATGCGGTAAGAAAGAAAAGCCCAGGTAAGGGGAACTGCTTTAGGTAGGTGACCTGTGAACTGAGACTGACCACTGGAAAGAACTAGCCATGCAGAGACAACTGTATAGACAGATGGAATAGCATGTGCCAAGGCCCGGCAGCAAGTGTGGGCCTGGCAGTTTGAGTGATGGCAAAGAGGCCGCTGTGGCTGCCACTTCGTGAGCAATGGAGAGAAAGGGAAGAGCTAAAATCGGGTATGGACAGGGGCAGATCACACAAGACCCCGAAACCAGGGCAAGATTTCCAGGTGTTGTTTGAGTGCCAAGGGAAGCCCTTGCTTTTAGCAAAGGAATGACATGGTGTGATTTATGTTTTAGAAACAGCGATCTGGGAGGATTGCAGAGGAGATCAGTGAGGAGCCAGGCTGTGCAGCTGGGCAGGACAGAGGTGAGGAAACACTCAGGGTGTAGGCAGGGACGTGAGGGTAATGCATTTATCCAGGACATGGTTGGTGGCAGCAGTGAACAAGAGCTTGGAGTCCTGGGTCAGCCAGCATTTGGTTCTGAACCCTAATGACCTTGAAACTCTTAGACTTGAATTGTCCAATACTGTAGCCACATGTGACTGTTTTTATTTGCATACATTTATTTATGTATTCATTTATTTATTTTAGAGAGTCTTACTGTGTTTCCCGGGCTGGTCTAGAACTCCTGGCCTCAAGTGATCCTCCCATTTTGGCCTCCTAAAGTGCTGGGATTATAGGCGTGAGCCACCTGGACAGGCCTAAATATAAACTCATTAAAATTAAATACAATTGACAAGTCAGTCCCTCAGTCTCAGTAGCCTCATTTCAAGTGCTCGCTTGTGGCTAGTGACTACCGAAGTGGACAAGTCAGAGATCATTTCGGTCATCACAGAAAGTTCGACAGGACAGCGCTTCCTCAGACAGCACTTAACCTCATTAAGCCTCAGTCTCCTCCTCGGTAAAAGGCGGATAATAATAGCATCTCCACGGCAGGGTGCTAAAGGAGGCGGCGCCTGTAAAGTGCTTAGTGCCAGTAGGCAGGTAACACTTGCTCATTAAATGCAGGTTGTCATCTTTGCTGAGACAGAGGAATCGTGGGACGTCCCGGCGGTCTGGATTTCGAATCCCGAGGAGAGGGCGAGGACTGCGGGGCAGGGGTGGCCTCTGACCCCAGCCCCACCCAGCCCACCGCGACCCCGACCTCGCCCGCCTGCCCCGACCCCCAGGCCGGGCTCCCCGCGCCCCCAGACCGGCCGGGAACCGACCCCGCGCCGGCGCCGCCGGGAGGAGCCGCGCGCCCTGCCCGCGGAGACCGCAGGGCGCTGGGCCGCGGGCGGCGCGCGGCCGGGCGGGGCCGCAGGGCCGCGCGGCGAGCGCCCGGCGGACCGGGCGGGACCGCAGCCGGAGCCGGGACTGTCGCGCTGGCCGCGCCGGCGATGCCGCGCCCCCGGGCCGGGTTGTAGCGGGGCCACGGCCGGAGCGCGCGCCGGGCAGGCCGGACATGGAGGTGGTGGACGAGACGGAGGCGCTGCAGCGCTTCTTCGAAGGTGAGAGACCGTGGGCCAGCGCGGGCGGCGACCGTCGTGCGCCGGGAACCCCCAGCAGATCTCCCCGGGACTGGGCCCCCAGCTGTGTTTCCACCACGCCGCGACCCCCCAGAACGCCTGCTCTGGCTGGGGCCCTCCTCCCGGCTGGCACGAGCCTGCCGTGCGTGGCTCCCAGGACCCGGAGTCTCCTGGAGGCTGCTACACCGCCACTGAAGTTGAGCGTCCCCTCCCTGTCCCCTATCTCGCAGCTTCCTTGGGGCGGTATCCCTTTTCAGTCTCGGACCTCCTTTGACTTCTCCGTGACCTGGAGTCTTCCTAAATTGTGACCCCACCCCCACCCCCGGAACACTTCCCTAGTCTGGGGACCCTCTACTGTGCTTCTCTGGAACTCCACGCAGGTCAGAACCAGACCCCCAGCACGCCTTCTGGGATCTTCCATATCTCTTGAGGCTGGCACCCCAGACCCCTCGCCTGCTTCCCAGAGTTTAGGCTCCCGTGCCTAGAGACCAAGACCCCCTGTGTGCCTTTAAGGTTGGCACCCTCCCCCGAGCCTAAGTCCTAGTAGCTGGGACCTCCCCACTGTGCTTCCAGGAGACGAGGGGCCCCTTGAGTCTGCGACCCCCTTCCAGACTGTCACCTGCCTTTTGCAGTGCTGTCCCCTCTCCCAAGGCTGAAGTTCCCCTTGAAGCAGCCACTCCTCCCCTACTTGGGGCTGGGACCGCCCTCCTTAGCAAGCTCTCCTGGGGCTGGAACCTTCCTGAAGCTGGCATCCCTGCCACCAGCCACCTCTGCTCTCTGAGACCCTCCCAGTGCTGGGAAGTGCATCCTTCCAGCCCTGTGAGGCCCCTTCGGGTTATGTTGTCTCCACACCTGTCCCTGGAACTATGTCTCTGACTTTGTCCCTGCAGGAGTGACCTCACCTTTTCCCTCTACCCTGAAAGGACCCTCCTCAGGGTGGGATCTACGCACACCCCACCATATTTTCTTCCTCCTCCACCCCCACATTGGTCTTGGAGGTCTGCTCCTGCATCTCACCAATCCCCCCTTCTCCTGAGCACCCCCGCCCCTCCTCCAGGGCTGTCCCTCCTCCCTGAGTGCTGGATTCTGGAGGGATGGGACGGGGTGTGGGAGGGGGAGGAGGAGGCGAGGTGCAGGCTGACGTCTCCCAGCCCACTCTGCTTCTCAGAACCTCCCTAGAACTCTAGCCAGACCCACTGGCCCCTTTTGTGCCCCACTCCACCAACTTGGGGGGCTCAGCCCCTGCCCCCACCCTTTCCCCGGTCCATAAGCCACACCCTGCTCCTCAGTGCATTTGGAACGTTTCAGAAGTGTGAACCCAAGTTTTAAGCCCAGTCCCCAGATCGCTTTGAAGTCCCGTGGAGGAGAGAGAAAGGCCTTTTTCTGCCTCAGTTTCTCTCTCCGTGACTTGGGGGGCGGGAACTCTTGGCCACTCCTGCTTGCTGACCAGCCCAGGGAAGGGCACCCCCCTCCGGGATTCTGGACACCCCAGTGCTCCCAAGCCCCAGGAAAGCAGGCTTGGACTAGATGAATAGTTGATCTTGACGCAGCTGGGCCATGTGGGAGTCTTAGGCAGCCCGCATCAGCCCCAGGGGCTCTTGTTGTCCCCCAGGCACTGTTCAGCCTTTAGGAGTGCTCCAGGGGCTTGGTGGGGCTTGGGGACGCCCAAGGAAGAGGAGAGGAGACAGCACTGCTTGCTTGGGGGACACTGTTTGGGGATGCCGGGAGCCTGCTAGGTACCCAGATGGCCGCCCAAAGGCCCAGCCGCCCTGACTCCGGAGGATATCCCTGGCCACCGCCCGCAGGACCCTGGGCCCGGGCGATGTGGGGGGGCCTGGTGGGCTGGGCTCCTGCCTCCTGAGCCCAACTTCCCTCCTGGCAGTGGTGGGGGAGCGGGGGCTGACGCCACGGCTCAGCCATGCGGCCTGGCCGGGAGGCTGTGCTGCTCCCTCCAGAGAGATAAGAGGAGACTCAAGAATGTCTGTGGGGAGCAGGGGCGGGAGTGGGCCACCCGCCCAGGAGGGCCGGGCTGGAGACTGCTCCCAGGGCCTGCGATGGGGGAGGTGTGGGTGGGCTGCGGTGTGTGCGGGACCCCGCGTGGGTGCGGGGGAGTGCCTGGGAGCCGCAGGGCCTGGTGTGCTCCAGGTGTGGCGGTGCGAGGGAGTGGGAAGCGGTGCTTTCGTGCCTGTGCATAAGTCGCCCCAAGCACGTGGGCACAACGTGCGCTCTCACACTCAGGGCGGGGGACGCCTGAGTTCTCATTCTGGTCCTGCTTGGCCACGGCCACTCCCTCTGGACAGTGGGTAGAGGGGTGTGTGCTTTGGCTCTGGGCCGGGAGACTGGGCAAGGGCTTTGCCGAGGGGCAGTAGCATTCCGAGACCCCTCACCTGATGTGGGCCCCTCCCTAGGCACACCAGGCATAGGTCCTGCGTCCTGCCCTGTGCGGGTGGTGGGCTGGGGGCTAAGGCGCTTTGGGCCTCGGGTGGGAGGCCGGGACAGGGCGGCCCCCTCGAGGCTGGTACAGCCGGGCCCCCGTGACTGCCCAGCTAATCCCCTGGACAGAGGCAAGGCAGCTCGGATCGGCGGGCACAGGGCCTGCAGAGGGGGACCCACCAGGCAGGATGCACTGGCTGCCAGCAGGTAACCAGGTCTCAGGGGGGTGTATTCCTCATCATTTGGCTGGCTGGGGCCTCTGACCCCAGCCAGGTTGGGGCCGGCACGGGCAGCATCTGAGGATCCTGCCAGCCCTCAGAGGTTCTGGTGCTGCCGGGCCGCTGAGAGCTAGGTGACCCTGTATGTGCCCCCAGAGACGCCCCAGGGAGCCCTTGCCCTCTCTGGGCCCCTTTTCACCACCTACAAGACAGGAGGGTGTGGCAGAGAAGGTTTCCATGATGCTTTCAGCCCTGAAGAGGCTCATCTCCCAGCCCTGGGACATTTGGGAGCCTAGAAGGGGGTGGGTGCTGGCCCCTGATTGTAGGGGCACATGAGGCTCAAGGGAGCAGCCAGTGCCCCCCAGAAAGCAGGTGGGTGTGGAGGGAAGTGGGCTTCCAGAAGGTGCCTCTACCTGGCTTCTGGAGCCCCCCACCCCCCAGGGCCGGAGGTAGGAGGCCTGGGATGTCGCACCCTCTGAGCCCAAATGGGTGGCCTGGCCTGGTGACTTTCTTCTCTGGCCTCATTTCCCTTCCCAGGGTAAGTAGGTGCATTGGGCCAGAGCAGGGGCTTCCAATGTCATTTTTTTAGCCATCAAACAAACTCACGATCTCCTGATAGGACAGATACAGTGGACAAAGGGGGACTGAGCTCCCCACGGCCCCCAGAGCACCAGGATCCTGGTTTGAAAGCTGCCCTTCCCCCAGCCATGGGGTGGGTGCGTAGGATGGCGCTGGCTGAGGTGCCGAGAGAAGGGAGTTGGCCAGAGCTGGCCGGGGCTGGCCAGAGCAGACACCCAACCCCCAGCTCTCTGCTCTGTCACCAGGGCCTTGGGGAAGATTGGGGGCCACCTGTCAGAGACCAGTATGTCTGCCTCTGGAGGGCAGGAGGAGGCCCCAGAGATCAGCCTGACCACTTGAAGAGAGGACCTCCACCTGGACAGGAGTCTGGGCTGAACTGGGGTGCGAGATGGGGGTTGCACTGCACCCCGGCTCAGGCTGTCTGTCTGTTTGGAATACACACAGGGGGTTGGCAGGTGGCAGAGGCAGCCAGGGGCAGGGCTTGCCGAGCCTGGCCCCCAGGGAGATGACAGGAGGAGCTCTGGAGGACTCCTGTCCCAGCCCCAGTCGGTGGAGCTGACTGCCAGAGCTGCCCGGGTCCTGGGCCCAGGTGGGAGGGGAGATGGTAGTGGGGGGTCTGACTCATCCCATGTCCCGGACACCCAGTGCAGGGCCACAGGGCGGGGGCGGGAGGGGGGCAGGAAATGTTCTTGGGTCAATGGAGGCAACAATGGATCTGTGAACAGAGGTGGCGGGTGGGGGTGTGCCCGGGAAGTGCCTCTCTGGGAGGGCCTGGGGTCAGTGCAGGGGTGAGGAGCATGCCCTTACCAACCGGCTGGCCCCAGGCCTCTCCTGGGTCTGGAGGGCTGGTCACAGTGCCCCTTGGGGTCTTAGGCAGAGCCAAGGAGGGCTCGTGAGGGCAGAATGGCCTCTTCCCTGGGGACCCAGCCCCCCACTTCCCAACTCCTAAGGGGTTACAGGACAGGGGAGCCCTGGCAGCAGAGGCTGCTGGGTAACAGTGCAGCGGGGCTGCTGATTGGCTGCCGCCCTTGGACTTTGCCCTCCCCGATAAGGAACTGGGAGCAGAAATTATTAACTGAATCATTAACAGGATGGCCCCGCCCTGCCTTCCCTGCTGCCTTCTTTCTCCTCATGGCCTAATGCCCTCTTCTGGGCCTCAGTTTCCCTCACCACCTGGGGTGTGGGGGCCTCCTCTCCCATCCCAAGGTTTCAGAGATGGTGTGGGTGGCCTCGTGGATGACCTTACGGTTTTGCGCACCTACTGGGGTGGCAGCTGGGGTCTGCTCTCAGCCCTGCCACTCTGGGCCACGTCCCTGCACTCTGTGCCTGTAGCCATCGTCTCACCTGTAAAACGGGAATGCAGTTGTTGTGCCAGTGCCTGCCTCGCAGGGGCCCCGTGGGGTTAGGCAAGATAGTGCCCGTGCAGGGCACTATCAAGGCTCCCTAAAATCAGCCTTGATCAAGGTGACCGTCCCATGGGGCTTGCACAGCGCCGCAGGTGTCGTGCCCCCCACCTTGAGGATTATTCACCCACAGATAGGTCGATGCTCCCAAGCTTGGGCTTGGGAGCCCTGCGGCTGGTGCTGTGTGCTTTGGGAAAGCCCCTCACCTTCTCTGGGCTGCTTGTTCCAGAGATGAAGGAAAGCCATCAGCCTAGCTGAGCGCGTCTGTGTGCAGGGGCCTGCCCCCTGGCAGCTCTGGCCCTGCGTGGCCCTGATGCCTGGTCCTGTCCCTGGCACGTCCAGCCCATCT